TTATGATAAAAACACTGAAAGAAGGCGCAGTTGCCTGTTTAAAACAAGAAATTCCGTTATATAGTCCGTTAAAACAACAAATTTCGTTAGTTTTTCCGTTAAAAATAAGAAATTCCGTTACATAGCCACTTTTAATATATAATATATATAGAAGATAAGTAAACAAGAATAATTCCCCACGCATACGAGCGCTTATTTTTGCTATTGTTGCGTTGAAAACCAATGAAAAATTGTCAAAGTATTATTCTGTAAAAAAATTGTCAAAGATTTCCTATACTGCTATTGTTATGTTGAAAATCAATGAAAAATTGTCAAAGTACTGTTCTGTAAATATAACTGAACAGAGGAATGGATAGCAGTGAATAGGAAAATTCAGTTATCCAAATCCCGAAACTCGATATGCGTATACGGACCCATAATCGTATTATATAAATATAACTTAAAATCAGGGTAAGTCCCTTGCTATATTTATATTGAATTTTCTCTCTTGTTGCGAGCTCTTAAAATCTTCCATGGCTGATAAATCAGAGTTTGATCCCCAGCTTATCATCTCTCACAAATTCCCCGAGGTAATTTCTATTTTTTCTTTCTTAATTCTTTCTTTAAATCATCATTCAAATTTGTTTTCGCCATCGAATTTGATTTGTTATTTCTTTTTGTCTACTCTTGGCTTTTTTGGTGGGGAATTATACTTGCCAGTTCACTTATAGTTATACTGAAAGGTAGAGTACTTCAATTTATTTCGTTCTGCAAAATATTCTCTTTTTGTTGTGATCTAGCATACACACAAAGGAAAGTCAAAATTAATGCTTTTCTTTGTAAGTAGAGATGCTGCACTCTATGCCCTTGGTGTTGGAGCATGTGCAGACGATGCCGTGAATGACAAGGAGCTCAAATATGTTTACCATCATGATGGCCAGCAATCCATCCTGGTAAACTACGATAATTTGTTTCATGTAAACGAATGGAGCCATTCATGGACAAAGCCTAGACTTGTCTGGGTTCATTGAGTTTGGTTCAATCTTGATTTCACGCCTGTTTATATTATATTTTTTCATATTTTATATTAAAGATTATGGGCGTAGATGAGAGTCAATTTTAACCAAGAAAAGTAAATGGTGGAGTTGAGAACTTGGCTTGGGTGTATGATTAAACCAGTTGGGCTCTGATCAATATTTCACCATCTCAATACAGCTGAAAAAAAAATTGGAACTAAAGAAATGTCTCTATGTGAAAGTTGATATCCAGCACGAAGTTAGATAAGAAAACTGGATTGCAGGATAGCTGACCGTAGATCATGGTGGGAGTAAGTTATTGAGAGTTGATAACTGGAGTCTTATCTTTTATATTCTTTTAGATGCTGGACGTTGGGCAGATATCTATCTATATTTGGTTATTGTGGTATGAAATATTTTTAACTTTTATATTTATATTTTAACAGGTTTTGCCAACATTCGCTGCTTTATTTTCTCTTCATTTCAGTTCACAACTTGCACAGCTACCAGGATTTCAGTAAGTATTTCTATTTTTGTGTGAGCTTTGAATGCTCTGTTTCTTGGACATATATTTCTGATAAATCATCTTGCCTCACAAAATACGAGGTAATTGACTTCTGACACCATTTTCCTTCGCCAGATATGATCCACGTCTTCTGTTGCATGGACAACAGTATGTTGAAATTTACAAGCCCCTTCCTTCTAGTGGTTGTGTAAGGTTCTTGAGGATTTAAGTATTAGATAGTCCTCCATATCTTCATTTATTTGTTTGTTTTTTCACTTCATTGCTCTGAGTTGTTTTCCTCTTAATTTTGTTGGTGCAGATTCTAAATAAGGCAACTGTTGCTGGATTACACGATAAAGGTCTGCTTCAAAGATTAACCTCGATAATCTCAATCTGGGTATATATGTTTAGGAAGTCATGCACTGAAATTAAGTTGGAACAAATATGGATAGGATGGTAAGGAGTCTTGAGTAAAATAAAAAGTGAAGTGGAAGTAAACTGGGCTTCAATGTTTGGTGGAAATGAAAAATTTCTGCCCATCTTGTGAACAGCTAAATTTCTTGGTTTAATTTGTTTAGTTAAATAGCTTAGTTTATAGGTAATAGGTAATTTAGTTGAATTTCTGCCCATCTTGTGCCTTTCTTTGTTGAATTTAGTTGGAAGTAACAGGTAATTTTTCTGTTATTTAAGCTAAGTTGAAGGGTTGATACTTGATACATCATTCATTTCCTCTATTCCTGCAGTTAAGGCAGCTGTTCTTGAAATCGAAGTTGTAAGTTATGAGAAAGACACTGGTGAAATGCTATGTATGAACAGGTAAGTTATTATTCATGTGACTATCAAGATCAGTTAGTTTACAGTTCTACTTCTACTTACTTTTCTTTTTCAGTACTTAATTTGATAAAGTATTTTATTACTTCACAGGATGACTGTTTTTTTGAGAGGTGCTGGTGGCTTTTCGAAATCATCCCAGCCATACTCCTATACCCGATATCTAGCTAATCAGACATCGGATTATAAGATCCCAAAAACTCAACCATTTTCAGTATATGAACAATGTACACAACCATCGCAGGTGCGTGAGTTTGTATTTTTGGCGCTCAGATGTGATTAAAGAGAAGGGAAGTGTTGAGGGAACACTGTTGATAATATATCTAGTGAAGATGTTATTTGAGTATTTTAATTAGTGAATGTTGCCTTTATAGTGCTCATTCATGGCCCTCGCATGATAAAAGTGGCAAGTAGGCCTGCAGAGGTCACAAATTCATGATTCAATTAATACCAAAACTTTGGAGATGTCTTTGAGGTTGTGCCACTAAATATGATTACGAAGTACTGATGACGTTCAAAAGTGAATTTTGTCCAAATAAATAGTTATTGTCAGACTGGATTCAAACCTAGGTTTGAATGTACACAAGAAATTCTCTCTATTTTGACAACTTAGAATGTAGCATGACATTGGAAACTAACATCTTGTTCTGCATGCTACATCACTTTGGACATTCATCTGAGATTTCCTTGATCCTGGAATGTTTATTTCTTCAGATGCCTTCAGATGGACAAAGGCTTCCATAGAGACTTGTTGCTGTCTTGTCAAAATATATTCTCCTCCTTTATCCAATTCAAAAATGATTTCTCTTCATGGCATCTGGTATTCAAATAGATTGGTATCTATCCCAGAGACCGGACTTCTTATTCCCGTCAATATTTACTTAAATTACAAGTGATGAACATTACTCTTTTCTTTCACTTTCTTTTCTGCTCAACTTCCTCACTTTGAACAGAAGTGGAGGAGTTATGTAATAATTCCATTAATCCACTGACTCGGCTATTCAGGAATTCTGATAGTCTGGGCGATCCTTCTGTTATTGCATGTCAAAGACTCAAAATTGCTTTCCATAAATTCTGAAATTTCATTTAGCTTCTATTGTGACTTGCATTATAATTTATATGTTATTAAAACCATATAGAATTTTATAATCTCTTTAGAGCCTTCATCTGCTTTTCAGAATTACGAGTTCTTCAAATTTGCAATATCATGATGCAGGCATTGCTGTACAGGCTCTCTGGTGATTACAACCCCTTGCACTCGGACCCTGCGATTGCAGAAATTGCAGGGTAATTATTCTTTAACTAAAATGTTAATCCTTTCATTTTTTCCTGTGTAAAACTTGATCAGCAACATACCTGACTGTAAATCAGGAGCCGTTTTGTTTGTCAATGAACTATGGGGGAAAAGTATTCAGAGTACTGAGTTAGGCTGTTAAACTAATTGTGATTTGATAAATTTGTTAATACGTTATTCAGCCAAATTTGTGAAAATAATCCTGGCCTAGAAGTTTATGTAGATATCTTGACACTTTGGAAGAAAGTTGTATGCGGGATATTTTAGCAAAGGAAAAGAGGAGTAGAGATCTAAATCAAACAGGTTATGCATAAGGATGAAAAACAAGAATTTAGTTTTTCAGTTAAAACACCACAAAAAGATGGATGATTATTTTAACATATTATTTAATAGGAGGTAAAGAGTGGATTTTGAATATCTATTAAACACTATTGAAGATAACATTAACTAACTAGAAGGATTCAGATCTTGAAAGTGAGGAAGGCTATGAATAGAATGAAGAAAAGAATTGTAATTGGCCTAGGTGGATTCTTATAGAAGTTTTCATTGGTAGTTTAGAGGATAAAGGATGGATGATGATTGAGGGAAAAATGTTATATTTTCTATTTATAAAAAGAAAGGAAATATTCAAGTTTGTAAAAACTATAGAGGTATTAAGTTTATGGGTCATACTATGAAATTATTGAGGAGCCTAATTCAACTTGTACAAGTGTTAATTCAAAGGTCTCCTATGACTAGTTTTATTTTATGCCGATGAAACATGTTATTTTAAACCAATTAATCGTTGGCGAAGTAATACATAAAAGAAGCAAGATTTAAATATCATTTTTATTTATTTAGAAAAGCATATGATATTGGTGATCCCCGGAAAGTGTTATGGTGGGTGCTATAGAAATAAGGATTACCTATAATATTCGCAATATCCATAAATTTATAAATGATGGAGCAGTTATAACCGTCAAATTTAGTAGGGTTGACTATAATTAAAGGTTTGTATCAAGTTTCTCTTCGCTTTAAACATGGAAAAATTTACGAGACATGTCGAAAATGTTGTCCCTTGGTATATTTTATTCATTCGTAGCATTATTTAGTTTACCAGAGAAGGAGATTGAAGGAACACTTCTAAAGTATTTAGGTTAAGCCATGTAATCCTGATTAGAATTTCATTAGGTCTTTGGGTTTGACTATTATTTTTATTATTATTGATTGAATAGAATGTAATGAGTAGGATTAAGGTGAATTAGATGAAACAGAGAAGTTGTAGGAATTTCATCCGATTAGAGGATAGCTGTCAAGTTAAAGTGCAATTTCTACAAATAATGATTATTAAACTAGGTATGATTTATGATACTTTGTATTGGGCAGTTAAATGACAAAATTTCTTTAAGATGAATGTGGGAGAACCAGAATATGTGAAAGATGTGTGACCATGTTAAAATAAATAAAATAAGAAAGGACTGTATATGTCAATTAATGGACATGAGAGCAATTGACAAATGTTTTGGTTTAACTCGCAAGTGGGAACTGAAGGTTTGTCTTAGATGGCAAGAGCAAGTTAGAACAGACAAATATGATGGTGTAACGGCGTGAGTCAGTTCTATGGTGGGCATTGACAAAATGCAATAAACTCCTTCATTTCTTAGTTTAATTGTTACTAAGTTTAACAGCTCACTATTTTTGTCGAGTGAAAATTAAAATTAAGGCGCAACACTTGAGTGACCTATATTATATATAGGCTCAATCAGTATACAAGCAATCGGCGAGAGAAGTAAGAAGTGGCAGTCCGTTCTTCTAGAGATGATTTGTCTTCTTGAACACGATATAAGAAGACTTTCAACCATTACAAGCTGAAATATGATTCCTAAACAGGGCCCAAGGAACCCTCTATTACTACAGAATCAAATAGATGACAAAAAGTACACAAAATTTCTGATTTGTATAGTTGTTTGTTCTCATTGTACAACCAATTTCTGGTTTTACAGTTTTACTAGCGGAATATTGTGCCCTTATTTTGTTTAGCATGCTCTTGTGTAGATTTTCTCGTCCAATATTACATGGGCTTTGCACACTCGGGTTTGCAGTTAGAGCTATCATCAAATGTGTCTGCAACGGAGAACCAAATATGATCAAAAGCATATCCGGCAGATTTCTGTTGCATGTCTATCCTGGTGAAACCATAATAACTGAAATGTGGCTTGAAGGTTCAAGGTAGGTTAAGTTATTTTTTATCTTACTCGAATTCATGATATTTAATCTACGCTGGAGCTTACAAAGGTAGTGAAATATGCAGGGTGTTATATCAGGTGAAGGTTAAAGAACGAAACAGGGCTGTGCTTTCTGGCTATGTGAAACTCGATCGCCTAAGTTCATCTCTGTAATATCTCACTTTCAAAGACAAGAACTAAGCCATCAGTTAAATAAGTTTGGAGAATTGGTCATTGACCAATGTATTGAGGATAAAACCTTTCTTTCTTATTGTGGTGTCACCATTGCATCGTTTTCTTTCTGTTCCTATACACTTCCATTTTCATGTAGGAAGAATCTATATTAAAAATTCATGTAGGTCATGTTCACTATACATGGGGGGAGTGGATTACTGTTTCTTATTTGTTTTTCCAGCAAGCCAACGTGAAAAAGAAATTATGCCATTCATGCTCTAATTAAACACAGGATACAAGCTGCAAATAAACTGAGTCAACCTCAAAGCAGCGCAAAATTGTTTTCAGATTCCTCTCTAGACTGGAGAGGGATCGATTAGAATGCCTATATTTCCACCATAAATGGCTACCTCCAACTTAATTTGTTACAGCCCAGACTTATTGCTAAACAGGCCTGGGACCCAATTGTAGAGCTGTTTAGGCAGTGCAATTCTGATGAATTTGTGCAAATTGGTTGTCTTCTATGGGGAAAGAGGAATTGGGTTCTGCATGGTGGTCAAGTGAAGGAGGCAGAGCTGCTGGTAGAATCTGCGTCTATTTTGCAGTCAGTGACATTAGGAAGCAACTGTGCAGGTGGTGGTGGTGGTGTTCTGCCGAAGAGTGCTCTCGGCCAGCAGAAGGGACGTTGAAGATGAACTGTTATGCGGCTATGTCGTTGAAGATGAACTGTTATGCGGCTATGTCGATCGGGTAGGGCATAATTTTTGCTCAAGCTGGGCTTCAGCGTTTTGAGGTGGGAAAGCGACTCTTGGGGTGGTTCAAAGCTTGAATTCTAATTTCTCTCTAGCAACAAATGCACTTGTTTTGTCTGATATTGTCTCTTCGACTAGATAGTTATAGGGCTTGCCCCTCTATACAAGTAAGAGAAGAATGTGGCCTTCAAGCTTTGCCCCCCCTTTTTTTATTGGGTAAATAAATTTGTATCGATCAAAATTCTAAGTACAACTACTTCGGGCATTCAAAGTAAAACATTACAATGATCCAATGATCTAGTAATCCAAAACAAGTGATGGAATATGAATCAAAATATTACATACTTGGCTAATCTAGAAGACTAGAACACGAAGTGTCAAACTATTGACGGTAACAAACCCTCTTGGAGTAGATGGAAATGAGTCTGTCAATTGAACTTTAAGACAATGCTGGAAATCCCAGCTTCAAGGAGTTTAAGGTCTTCAAAGATGCCCTTCGAAAACTTGACATTGGTGAAGGGCAGCTTGCATTATTGGCAGCAAGTGTTGCTTAAAACGGTCCACATACTGCATGAAGCAGTCAATAATGCTGGGGTAACTGCAAGGTACAATTCCTATCCCAAACAAGTAAAATCAGCTTAACCATGATCCCGAATTTTCAGTATCATACCAGGCTACTGACCCAGTTTCAAAATTCTGCCAATCTGGGATAAAAAAGCTCATTGCTGCCTGTCCTAACACAATGTCAGCCAATATAGTAGCATGCAGGGCCAGTGCATGCTACAGGTAGTAGTGGTCGGAAATAGCAAAAGGAGGCTGTTGGAAATCAAAATTCAAATCCAGGCTGTTTTTGAATTTACCTGAACTTTACCCAATATGGATAGAGGTCAACATACAGCAATATTGCTGTGAAAATCTGATTTTTCCAAACCGGTAAAGGTACTTCAAATTCAAATTTTCAAAATGGGAGGTAATAAAATTTGAATTCAATGCCCAAAACAGACAATCCCAGCATGAAGAACATGCATGAATCTGTTGAAATTTCCACAAAATCTGCTGCCTTGAATCTTCAAGAGAACATTAAAACCTCATCTGGACGGTTTCAAAAGACCAAGAGCTAAACTAATTCAATAAGAAATCAAGACCTTCTAGTAAAATTAAAGATTGAAGCAAAAAGCTGTTGACAAGATTTGAAGATGAAAAACAGGCTTCGAATTTAGACCCGGGACTGGGTACAATCCGAAACAAAGAGAATAAAACTTCTAACAACCCGTACAACAAACCTAGGCATTTCCTTGGACTGGTGGAAACGTAAAGATTGAAGCACAAAGCTTTTGGCAAGCTTTGAAGATGAAAAACAGGCTTCGAATTTAGACCTGGGACTGGGTATAATCCAAAACAAAGAGAATAAATCTTCCAACAACCTGTACAACAAACCTGGGCATTTCCTTGGACTGGTTGAACCTCCAAGAAATGAAATAAACTTCTAAACATCCAAGCAAACTGAATGCATAGAGTGGAAAATCTATTGGCCAAACTCCCGAATGTAGAACTTGATTTGGACTTGAACCTGGGGCTGGGAAGAAGTCGACCAAGGAACATAGGAAATCTGCCAAAGTTGAAACTGGAACAAGGCTGGCCATAGCAGTGAGCTGGCAGAAACTCGCCAGCATCAAAATCATTGTCAAAACAGCCCCAAGTATTGAGGCTATCTTGAACAGCACCAAGGAGGAGCACCGAGAAATCTAGGTATATCTTTGCAAGATAAGTGCTAGACCACTGCAAGAAAACCCAACTTGCTGGCACTTTGCTTGAGCCAAGAATCTGCTTTGGCGAAGCCACTATGAAATTGCCTAACCTTTGGTCAAAACAACCAAGGAGCTGGACATTGCAAGAGAACAGACTTGCTGGCATTTGGTTGAACCAAGAGCTGCTTGAATCTGCTTGGCCAAACCATCATAAAACTAACAAATTTCTAGACCGAAAACAACCAAGAAACTGTACTATCCTTTGCCAAGAACTGGCCGAACTTGAAGACTGCAAGAAATATGAAATCTTCACAGCTTTCCTTTTGGATTTGGACAGATTTTGTAAAATCTGCTATGAAATATTCAACATTGCCAATTTGTGAAGGTAAAATTGAACAGATCAATGAGCTTCACACAAGCAAAAGGCCACTCTAGTGAGTGTTTCTCTCGCTAGAGTTTGAGAGCTTCTCTCTCTAACCTTCTACATTGCTGACTCCACTCTTTTGCCTCGTTTGCTTTTATGGGAACACCTGGGTGGATTGTAACCCTACTTTCATCTCATCTGCGATTCACGGTTAAGTTAAAGAAATTGTCATTCAAACAGGAAAAAAAAACATGCTAGCAACATCCAAATGAGGTAGTACAGAACAAGAAGAAAGAGTGGAAGTTGAATGGTCAGAAATCCATCAAGATTATAGACTAGGAGATCAAGATTAGCCAACAATCATTCTCCAAGTTATCATGTATTCGGTATTTCTCACCCTTGCATGTATAGAAATTGTATTGCTATACTGCGCTTCGATCTGATTCAAAGCATGTTCAAACGATTTAACAGTCTTGGCACGCAGATTACTTGGTACCACAAAAGTCATAACCTAGAAATGAAATTGCAAATCAGAAAAGGGAAAAAGCTTCACTTCGCAAGAAACAAAAACTATCACAAAAATCCATTATTTATCAATCCATGAAAAAATATCTGCTTGTCTAAGGTTTTCAGCAAACGGTACCAAGTAGCATGAATTTGAGAGGGAGGGAGAGAGAGAAGATTTTAAGCATTACATTGGTTCAAGCAAATCCCAAGCCACAAGCCGTTCGTTGTCCCGCGATGGATGGTCAAGTAAGTGACTACCTGCTCACCAATTGGAATAGAACAATAGTTAAGAAAGAAAAATAAGTAACACCAAAAATGGAAACTGGAGACTTTATAATTCTGTCACAGAAAAGAAGATTACCAAGGAGTATTAAGGTGTACATCTAGTCAGATTATCAAACGAAGTCTACAGTTTCGAGCCATGTTCCAACTTCCAGCCTCTTAATATCTAACTCAATTGTACTACATCCAGCTTCCTTAGTTCCAAATTGCTTACAGTCCATCTCTTTCATCAAGTCCTCTTCCTTCTCCAACATGCTTGTATGATGTGGTATCGACCCAGCCATTGCATAAGCACCGGTAAGAACAAGTGCATCAGCAGGATGTTCATCACATATTTTTTCCAACTCTTGCTTAACACGTTTCCCCAAATCCATGTTGCCATATACTCTACATGCTGCAAGCAATGCACGCCAAGCAGTGGCATCCCCCTCATTTAGCAATCCTTTAATTAGCTCATATGCATCCTCCAGCAACCCAGCCCGACCCAAGAGATCAATTATACATCCATAGTGTTCAACTTCTGGCATAAAACCGTACATTTCCACCATTCTACGGAAATAGGTCATCCCCTCCGTCACTAGACCTCCATGGCTACAGGAGCTCAAAACTGCCAAGAAAGTAACTTTATTAGGCCGGAAACCCTCTTCCTCCATTCTGTGAAAGAGTGTAATTGCATAATTTGCCTGCCCATGTACCCCATGACCCCAAATCATAGCCGTCCAACATTTCACATCTTTGCTCTCCATCCTATCGAAAACATCAACAGCCTTTCCAAGCAGCCCACTTTTAGCATACATGTCTACTAGAGCTGTACCGAGAACAGCATTTAAAGCTAACTGTTGTTCCTCCACGTAATCATGTATAGACTGACCTACAGTCAGAGCCCCAGAAGAAGCACAAGCAGAAAGCAACCCTGCCAAGGTAGATGAATTAGGCCTCACCTTTTCACGCTTCATTAAACCTAACAATTCTAATGCCTCTTCTAACAGACCATTTTTAGCATATCCATCTATTAAACAGTTCCATATTACAATATCCTTTTCAATATCAATTTCATCAAAAATTCGACGAGCAAAATCAATATAACCATGTTTCCCATACATGGAAATCAAGCCAGTTAACACACTCAAGTCCAACAAAAATCCAATCTTAATGCAAATTCCATGGAGACATTCCCCTCTGAGAACGTTTTTCATTTCACTAACAGCTGACAAAGTATTTAATATTGTAGTCACACCAATACTATAACCATCCCTATGTAATTTCCTAAACAAGTCCACAACCACTTCATACTGAAAGGCACCAAGATAACCGCCCATTAATGTGTTCCATGAGATCAAGTCTCTC